TATTTTATAATGTCAGACAATATAAGTAAAAAATATATGGTGAAACATGTATTAAGTGTAGATAATATAAGGCTGCCCTATCGCTATGCTACCACTAGAGGGATGTGTAAAATTAGTATTTTTTCCTAATTAGAAAATGATTGGATGAAAAAACACCCATGATTGTAAAGAAGGTCCTTTCACTTGAGAAATATACAAAAATCTAATTGATGGTAATACTGCTGTTTAATGTGATGTCATATTGGTACAATGACATCATACTATTACAGGACTGAGTCGGGAGCTTTCAGGCTGAAGGGGCGGTGTCTGTGCCAGAAGTTCCTCAAGGATGGATCTAAAACCTCCAGGTCTGTTTTTGATGAGGGAACACTGTTTTCAAAAAAGTCCATGCATTATGTCTCCTTTAAGACAAATTAACCGTATCTGAACGCAGCATGCTTTAAGAATGGTAAGTGTAAAAGACTTCACAACTGTACCTAAAGGCCAGTTGGGTAAAGGCAATGAAAAACATACAAGGCCATTAGAAGTGCAATAATGAATGCACTTTTAGTCAGGAATGTGCAATTTTCTGTGTAATGTGCGTGTGCTAAATCCCATGAGGATGTTTATACACCTCTCTTCCTTTGTCTTTTTGGAATATATTTATGTACTTTTGATTATGTATTGTAATATGTACTGTATCTGTTTCTACGAGTGACATGTTACTTCTCTGATTTCCATCTGGAGACAATCAAGGCTTGTCTGTGATGCTACAACAACGGTCGGGCAACATTAAATATATGTTTGTATGTTTGATTTTCTTGAAGCCACATCACTTTTTTGACTTCCTCTCAATTTCTGTGTCTAGTCATCGGCTTCACTGTAGTTTGTTGAAGGCCGATTGATCAGCCTTTCAGAGTCGGACCAGTAGGAGAGGAGGTTCACAAAAAGTTCTCGAACATAAATAAACTGATATTTAAATTGATATAATTTTAGTGTTCTCACAGGAATTGGCTTTTAACACGAGTCTTATCGGCATGTGCCTATTGCTCAATGAACAACGGCTTTTGAAATGCATACTGTACACACACTTGACTTCTCTCATTTATGTCAGTATGAGATTCAATCAACTGTATCACTCAACACTGCAGAGCACAGATCTAATGAAAAGAAGAGGTTCCATTCCTTGAAAAAAGAGAATAAAAAATCAGATGGTCATCTGGTCAACCGCAAAAATTTTGGAATGTGTTCCCCTTTCTGAGCTTTACTGAATACACAACAATCTGCTCTTAACTTCTGATTTATCTAACTAACTAACAGACAGACAGACAAACAAACCCTGGTGATTACATGACCCTGTGGCAGAGATAATGACTGACTCTGGAAGTCCAGACTGTCTGCCTTGCACAATACTTTCCATTTCCATGTGAAGGAGTTAAAAGGGAAAGAGGAGGAATCAATAAGACATTAACGGAAAGTCATCTGAAAACTGGAGTGATCTACAGCGTATTACAGCTGGGAGCTGAGGAAGTTGGAGACCATTTATTTAGGGTGAGTTACTTTAAGACCACTGTTAAATTAAATTTATTCCATCCATTTGACCATGCTATAGAGAGAATGTGTAAATTTCAATAACAATCTGTGGATGCAATCATCCTCATGCTAAAGGCCTTATTGTTGTGATTTGGCACTTTTTTTTAACCACAATTCAATAAATTTTGTGAATAATTTATACAAATGTAAATGCAATATGATTGTGGAGCTAGGAATCTATGTAAAAATACATATTTTATTCGGATGACATACGTTTGTTTGTAGTGCAGCTTCGGTGTTGTAAATAACACTAAGAATGTAAGTCTTAGTGTTATTGCTCATTAACTCTGATTTCACAAACAATCTTCATATTTTATACTCTTTAAATTGTAAATTTGTAAGAATAAATGTTAATTCTTCAGACAAATGTATTCCTTTTACATATTGAATACATTCAAGAAAAATTACATTTATCTCATAAATATTAAATTTCTCCCCATGTATTTTATTTCAAAATCCTAACTTGCACTCTTTAGTATTGTGCTATGTGAAACTCTCGATAATTAGTATCCGTGAATGGTGCTGGTTTATTTGACATTTGACATAACAAAATCATGCAATTTACAGTTATAATAACCGTTTGCATGACCATATGAAGTTTTGGTCATTGTATATCAACATTTTTCAGAGGTAAACTATCAGGTTTCACTTTCAAATCCAAGGAGTTCACAGTCACTCACAATGCCTTCACAACATGTACTGAAACTATAGACTTTACACTTCTAGTGCACAATCAAAAGGCACACCAAACAATAGCCTCCCAAACAGCAGCCTGGGGACTCCCACGGTGCCGGGTTGTGTCCAAGGCCATGCCGGCGCTGACATAAGCAGCTCATGAGCAGCCGTTTGCCCATATGTGCCTCACGCCCTGCTGTCCCCAGTGGGTCCTGGCTCTCTGCAATGATACCATCTCATCTGCCAACATGGAGCACTTGGACTAAACAACCCAATTCCTTCTCTGCTTGGCTTATTCAGACCTCATTGGCTTGTGTTTTAATTGCAAATATTGAGGAAACCAGTTTATCGACCAGTACAGGCAAGTATCCAGAGAAAGATCACTTTGCAAACTAAAAAACATTTCAGGAACAAAGCAAGAAATTGATTGAAATGATTTTAATATATTTTGAACATATGTCAATTACATGCCCTTGTGTATATTTATATACGGCAGACTTTCTTTACATTCATAGTTGGCGCTGCTGTTCAGGTTAATTGAAGAGTGTTGTCCAATTACAAAGGTGCGAGTCCTTGAGGCCATTATTGATGATGACATATGCCACAGGAAGCAGAAGTCCAGGATAGCATGAGTGCAGGGTGAGCAGGTCCTATGAGGCCGGCACACATATGTCAGGGGCCGAGGGCTAAACTGGGTCAGACCGGCACAGATGGAGACTAAACTCCCACTGGCTCACTGGCACATAACTAATAATACAAAGAGTGAGCTGATATGGGCCTGTCTGCTATTCAAAATATACATACATTACACATACACGTTGTTTAGGACAAGTGAAATAAAAAGTCAAATCGTCTGAAAGAGAAAACACGTTCCCCATAGATGTGGTGTGAAATTTGTCTTCAGATACAAGATATTAATGATACTCAAGTCCTCCATAGGTCACTTCTGTCTGGTGCCTTATTTAATTTCCTTTCGTGCTGCAGAGAAGCTTGTCCATGCATTTTCCTCCTCCCGGATGGACACAACTGGTACAGTATGTAAGTGAGACATAACCTCATCCTCCCATCTCCGCTCGCATCAACACCTTGCACCATTTACCTCACAGACCTCCTCACACACGTGTGTGTGTGTGAGCCAGGACCCCACAGCACCGTCTGCTCGCTCCCAGGACTCGGTTCAAGACTATGGGGACTCGGCCTCCCCGTCTGTGAAACGCCCTTCCAGACGGAGGATGCTTTTAAAAAGTACCTAAAACCTTTCAACAAATCTATTCTTGTGATGCCTTTCTTTATTGTTGTGTATCTTACTCTTAAGCTGTAGCAGGTGTCGAATTCATGTCAAATGTAACAATGGCTCACAACAGACAGTTCCAGTTCCAACTGGCAAATTTATTGTCAGTGAATGCAAAAATCTGAGTAAGGTGAACAATTTTGAGTCGTCGTTTTTACAGTTCACCGAGCTAAAGTGAGGTCAACTTATCTGCGTTTGCTCATTTAAATATTTGTCATGGCAACCAGCTGCATTCAACATTTTGAAAAAACTAATTTGACCAAAAAAATCATCGTATTTATTTTTACCAACCGTAATCGACAGGGCCAACACACAGCGTGTGTGGCACGGTGGTTGAGCGGATAGCACTCTCGCTTCTTGACACAGAGGTCCTGGGTTCGAATCCCGGTCGGAACAGGGCCTTTCTGAGTGGAATTTGCATGTTCTCTGTGTCTGCATAGGTTTGCCCTGCCCAAGTGACCTTGGTCTGTAAAACGTGCTATATAAATAAACATCATGATGGTTTAATGTGGGGGCTAATTTAAACTCAAAATAGTAAGTTATTATAGGGGACAGTAATCTGAACTTAAAAAAGTAAGTTTTCACAGACTTGAAATTTCCAGTAACTTGAATTTAAAAACTTAGTTGGCAGAACTTGGAAAACTTAGCTGACACAACTTAATAAGTGTAGTTCTTCAAAACGTGAAGAATTAAGTTAATGCCTTCAACTCAAAAATCCTTCGCAGCTGGTTGCTTTGAAATTTTGAGTTGACCTAACTTTTTCTTTTTTACAGTGCATAAAAAAAATTAATAAAATGTTTTTTATTGAAGAATTTGTGAACAATGTTTTTGAAGGTCATCTATGAACAAAGGACCAATGCTTTTGGTTATATGTATGTCACAGATTAAATTCAGTGAAAGCTGCAGTGTCCTTGTTCATCAAAACCTCCATTAGAGGTAGAATGTGAGGAGGTAATAGGAGAGTTGAAAGGTCACAAATTCATTTGTTCAGTTTATAATAGGAGGTAAATTCCATTCAGTATGTTTCCTATTCAGATCATTCAACACATCTCTACAAGCTAAAGTCTTTGACCTCCTAAGACAGAGTGAATGAGAACACTGAATAGATGCAGAAGCCATTCATGTGGCTCTCAGATGCTTTTGTGAGGCTGTGGAGAAAGTTACCGCATAATTTTACAAAACTGACCTCCAATCTGGATCCAACTAATTTTTAATGTACTTTTGACTTAAAAAGACACAGAATACAAACACAACGTTTTCAGTCCTTCAGAGAACATGCCATCACACAAGGTCAGTGGCCTACAGGTCCTGGGTGAAGCCATGCATTAGTCCCTGGGTGGTTTAGCTGTTAGAGCCGGTCATATGTTTATAAAGAATTTCTTGGATGAAAGTCAAGTTTGCAGCTGCAGCATTGGAATAATTCATTGCATGCCTTTTACCCAGGAGGAGCCACAGGTAGTTGATGAAGTGGCAGTGCCAAGACTTCCAACTGGTGAAGACGAAGCGCAGCTGCCGGGAGTCAGCACGGCCAGATGCCGCTGCTGATGTACCATGTGTTCCAAACAGGGCAACAGTGTGTTTGTGTGTGAGCTTCGGTGGGAAGGGAGAGAAGGCAAAGCTTGCCAAGTCATTCACACATTGATGCCAACCTGACACATGCTCGGGTACTCCCCGCGGTCTGTGCCAGCATCGTACCCTCTTTGGCGGATCTGCTGGGGTCCCCCTCCTCTCCTCTGCCACTTTTTTCCTGATCCTGTCTTTTCTCCTATGTAGGATCCTTTCAGATGGTGTTAACTCAATAGCGCATTGGCAGCAGGCCATGGTGCCACAATACATTTAATACAATGGAGACACCATTTTGTCCAGACCCCAACAGAAGCGAGGTCAGTTAAATAGCTAAAACAGAAATGCGTGAAATCCAGTTTCTCATCCGTATTCCGTAACACCTCGAGTCTGTAATAAAATGCAGCCAATTTCGGGAAAGCAGTTTAGGCTTGTCGATGTCTGATTATGGTTCTTCTCTTGGTCTATTGAGCCCAAATGACAAGGCATGTCCACCTGAATGAAAATGACGTCAACAAAAATGATTATGAAAATGGTGCAAAATTCTTTATATCCTGGAAATATCCATATCGTAGTATCCCCTTGTATAACGTTTCTTCCCATAAACAGCAGCGAGTGGTCTTTGACGATACTATTCCTGAGAGTGGAGGGGAGATCTCTGAAACAAAGGCTCCAGTTTTGGTAGGAACATGCCATCACTGTTCACAGTGTAGGGGGTTTGGGGAGGGAAAGTGAAAACTTTTTGAACGTGTGCCATGTCTGTACCATTCTCTCATCTAAGGCCCACCAGTGCCAGCTGGCGGTTGATTGAGCCCACTTGCAGTGTAATGCTCATGCCAGCCAAGCTAGTTGGCACACAACTTAACATAGTATAGTCTTCAGCCAAACAGCTCCGTATGGATAGAGGGATATTATTGAATATAAGAATGATCAGCGCCACAGTTTTGTGACTTTAGAAAAACCTAATATAATAACCATTAGCTTGAAATGAAAAGAAGATTAAGGAAGATACAGTAGTTTAGGTTATTATGTATCAATTATCCTAAAATAAATTGTAAATTGTATCCGTTATACTATGAAACATGACTTGACTCTGAAAGTCAATTCTTGTTTCACAGTAAAAAGGACAGAACTGATCTAATAGTTTTAGGTTAATTACCCAATGTTCTAAATATATAATAACACACAAAATAACATGTATGTTCACTTCTCTGTAAATATGTTCAGCAAATAAAATATTCATTGAATGTGCAATTTTTATCCTTCCTTTTTTGAGACAAAGCAATTCCAAGTTTGGTCAAGTGACATTCAAGACCTTTATTTCACTTGACATTGTGGTTAAATATAATTTCCCCATCGTCATTGTGAAGAAGAAGGAAGACATGGAATTATGATGAGGCCAAACATTTCATATTATCTGTGCCGGAACTTTAGTCTCATTGTTTTGTTTGATAGGGAATGACAAATCCGATGCACGGTCCGTCACTGAAATGAGTCGTACCGGCTACTGCTGTCAACATTGCTGCTGTTTTGGAATCATAGACCGTAGAAGACACTGCTCTGCGGGGAATGGATCAATTATAAGAACCTGCGTATGTTCTCCATGTGCCTATATGTGTTTTTGATTATGCCGTTTGTTAAACCGCGTTACTTTTATTGTGTATTAAGCATTTAATGACCTTGGTATTGTCCTTTCTACCGGGTTCCTCAACTTTATTATAGTTTTATGTTAAGTTCTTCTATAGACATTGTAACATAATTGATACATACTGTATTATATAATGCAATAGAAATCGATGATGAGTAATTTGATATAATGACGATATTCTTATCTTTTCAAGCAGTTATATTGTGTTGTTGAATAATCTATGTCCACAGAATATATCTATATCTTTTAAATCTTGCAGGCATAAGGAATACTTGATGAAGCTCTCTTGATACTAGTTCGTGGCACTTGTCCCTCAGTATGTCAAGATTTGGATGGTATTCTGCTACTTCTTCCTGTGCTCTGAAGTGGACATGCACCCAAGTAAAGTTGAAGCCCTGTTTGTTGGGCATACTTTCCTGGGTTCTCAGACCTGCAGCTTTGAGAAATGCTCATAGTTGGACAGTAAAACCATTAGAGCTGAAGGTCCCTCTGTTTGCCAGAGCCGCCGCATATGGAGACAAGACTGCGATTATAGATGGCAATGGCTCTCATAGTTACAAACAACTGTACAGCAGTAGCCTGGGGCTGGCATCTAGAATAAGTGCGGCTCTTGGTTGTCCAGCTGGAGATGTTGGTGGTCAAAGAATATCTTTCCTCTGTGCCAATGACGCATCCTACACCGTGGCACAGTGGGCTGCTTGGATGAGTGGAGGGACGGCTGTGCCCCTATACAGAAAACACCCTCGGTCTGAATTGGAGTATATCATCTCTGACTCCCAGAGCTCACTGCTGGTGGCGGGACATTCCTTTGCTGAAAGACTGGAGCCTCTGGCACAGAAGCTAGAGCTTCCATGTCTTGCGCTCCCACCAACGTCTGACCTTGACAGTTTAAACAAAGAGGAAACTCAACAAAAAAGTCCTATCATTGACTGGGATGATAGGGCAGCTATGATCATCTACACCAGTGGGACGACAGGACGTCCCAAAGGTGTGCTGCACACACACAGCAGCATCCAAGCAATGGTAATTTTCCTACTCGTGTTCACAATTAACGTATTGACTGTTTATTTATTTTCAGATTGCTGGATTCAGATTAAAACTTTTCTTATTTGTTTTTAAGAAAATATATATAAACCTATGTCTACAATTAATTCCTACATTGTTTTCATATATTTCATTATTTATTATTTACTCAATATGTATGTACAATTATAAACATTTGCCTATTAATAGCCAATAAAATGCTATTCATAAAATACATCATTAAATTATAAATGTTTTTTTTTTTCAGTAAATACAGTGGTGTTTCTGTCTGGTCTCAGGTCCAGTGTCTCGTGTCCGAGTGGGCGTGGTCTAAAGATGACGTCATCCTGCACACGTTGCCTCTTCATCATGTCCACGGTATCGTCAACAAACTGCTGTGTCCGCTGGCCGTGGGCGCCACCTGCGTCATGCTGTCAGAGTTTCAGCCTCAACAGGTCTGTGAGTACTTGGTGCTTGGGGGTTTTCAGACAATTTTTCTGCCCTTCGGCAAAATACAAAAAATGTTCTGAAGATTTTTAAATTCTGTCTAATTAAATGTATTCAGGACTTTTCACATGTGTCACTCCCATTTTGTAACTCCCATATTATTGTAACTGGAAATATAACCTCTAGGACATGTTTTGTTTTCTAACAATAAAAGTTTAAAGACATTTACTACAAAATTGCTTTGAAACAAATGTAACACAGTAGAAAAGCACTCGTAGAGTGCAGATGTCCAGTAAGAAGCAGTAATGCATTAATAGTTCTGCTAAACAGAACTATTTTACCACTTGGATTTGAACTGTCAGAAACCCGTCTCACAATTTCAGGAGATATAAATCTGAAACGCTGCCTCTGCATGTTTAGTCCTGACTCTGGGCAATAGGAGGAGACCAGTCCCTGTGCTCTTCAGAGTCCGAGCCTTATATAGTTAGTTAGAAAGATAGATACTTTATTGATCCCCGTCAGAGAAATTCAGGTGTCTAGTAGCAGCAAAAATAAAATTGATCATTCTAAAAAGATAACCATAGTAATAATCAGCTACAGCCCTTCAGGTCACAGCAGCAGAGATGGAGTAGCCTCTGGGTGGAGCAGGACAGGTCAAAAGGTGGAGAAGCTGCTGGTTCGGACCATTTTCTCTGTTCTAGTCATAGACTGTAAAAATTAAAGGACGTAGTTACGCTTAACTTCAAAAATTCACCGCGAGTAAACTAGAGTGGTCCAAAAAAATTCATCCCCCTCAGCATTGACACACATGTAGAACGGAGCTTTGGGCCAAGAGCCAACTTTTGGACCATCCTGTAAAGACGTTTTTGAGAGGTCTGCCAATGCTATATGTTAGCATTGGCTAATTCTTCTTCTGGGTCCACCCCCATCGGCCCGGGGTGGTATTGCAAGCATGTCAGCGCACGTCATTTTGGCCACTTTTGAGCCGGGACCCGCCCCCACTGGTTCTAGTCCAAAGTAAAATGCTAAATGCTTCTTTCAATTCCAAATCAATCTCATTTGGGTTGCCTGATTGTTAACTGAAATTTAGTTGGTCTTGACTTTTGATACATATACGTATATCACAAAATTCACAAACAAAACAATGTCACCACGCATTTGGTAAAATGAATTTGTACTGTTACATGTGCCACAGACAGGGAAGTTCTGGCAAAACAAGAGGATGTTTATTTGTAATTACTTTATTATACCACTAATACAACGTGTTGTCCCTTTAAATCAATGTATGAAATGTGTCTCTTTGCGGCTGATACAGAGAACAGAACTCATTCAATCCAGAGCAAATGCCTCGGATATATGTATTGTGTTAAAAGTATACTTTTCACTGGGATTTTAAGCCTCATTGTTCTATTTCTTTTAGATGTTTGCTCATTATAAAGTGAAGGAAAAGGGTGGTTACATCTGTGTTTGTAATCTGTTTTTTTTATCATTTTGTTTCTATTGCTGTAGTTGTACATTGAAAGACAACCTCTGCTGTAGCCTGTCTATAGAGGACCCCCCACAAAAATGAGAAGATGCATCTCATGGGGTTATTCCTCTTTAAATAAATGTCTACATAAATTATGCACTGAGCGACAAAATAATGCTCACTGTCTATGCAATGCTGATATCTACAATATGCAAAAAATATCATGCTCATCAATTTTATGTACTGTATATAGCAGCTTATAACATGTATTTATTTAGCAATTTATCCTGCTTCTGAGTGCTTCCTACATTACCTTCTTGTATTGTGTGTTGCAACACTTTGGAACCTTTTCAATGTTTTCTAATCTTATCTATCTCCCCTTTCTCCATCTCTCTCTTCTTCTTGCTTCATCAGTTTCTTCCCTCCGTCCTTCCTTCCTTCCTTCCTGACTGTCAAACTAAGTGTTTGGAGCTCAGTGATGAATTGCCCTGTGTGGCTTTGTATCTGACCAATGCCGACTCACGGCAGGGACTTAAGCAGCGGATCAATCGATGGGCTGACATTGAAGGATGATGCTGCTTGTTTGGCCCTTAGAGGGAGGGGGACCGAGTGCTAAACGTGTCTCTGGATGTGTGTGTGTAGGCTCTGCTCTAGTGTAGCTTTAGTTTCCTACTTCTATGTGTTATTCCACCGTATTTCAGCGTATTGGTCGTGTTGTAAACAGGCGGCACATATGTATTTATCAATTGAGGTATTGCTTCACCGTCTGAGCCATCTGTATGCTGCTGCTATCCCCGACCTCGTGCACTAAACCACCGCCCCCCCATACTCTCTCTCAGAAAAAGCCTTTATTCTCCAGCTCCTGAAGTTACAGTACATTGATGAATTGATCGATAGTCTGTCTCTTCTATCCCCTCAGATCTCTGAAGGGTAGCCTAGGCAGCAGAGGCCAATATTGATCTCTCCTGATTTTGCCTCCAGATAGTGACAGGAATTTTCAGTGGAAGAATCGTGATCTACTAAAGAGCAGATAAGTCTATTTCAAGTGTACACATGTTGCTTGGGAATAGATACCAAGTGCTTTGAGCCTGAGAGGCAGTTGAAGTAGCTTGTTTCAACTGGCTGGTGGTGATAATTCCACATTCAGCAGTAATATGTTTTTCAACGTATCCAGTTTTTTCATTGAATGTAGTATTTCTTTCTGTTCTCTCCACAAACAAATTCTTGCCAAACCAACTTTGAAATGTTTCTTCCATCTGGTCCACTGCTGACTTCTACATTGTCAGCAATACTTTATGGTCCCTGTCAGAAAAAGTGTCCTCTGCATTTGAGCCACCCTCAATTAAGCCTAAGCTACCCAAATATGAACATAATAATAATAATAATAATGCATTGGTTTTATATAGAGCTTTTTTGGACGCATAAAAGACGCCTCATTATTTGTTCACTCCATACCTGGTGGTGATAAACTACTACTGAAGCCACTACTGTAGCCACAGCTGCCCTGGGGCACAATGACATTATACGAAATTATAAACAGAGTAACAAGCTTACCTCACTTTTCTGATAGAAAGTAAGCTGTAAATGTGTCCCAATAACACCAAACAGATACTAAAATATAATATAATTTAATATAATATAATACTGGATTCTTATTTGTATCTGTCAACAAAAAGTTCTCAATTGCTTTCAAAAAATTATATGTTTTAAAATATATTTCACCACAATAAATAAGTTAACTTTTTCACATTTGGACAGATAAAACCAACCTAAAATACAGATAAACCTTAAAGTAACTACCACAAAGCATTTTTAACGAAGAAAAAGAACACATCAGTTTGACGTAGTTCAGTGACATTGTGAATAGCATCTCCTCACCTCTGTTGTTTTTGATGCAGCCCGTTGCTCTACGTTGCACGTTCTGTCCCTTTGGTCGAGGCCAACACTTTGACGGACATAAATTGCTTCCCTCTCCCCTGCAGACCGGCCAATGGTGGACGCGCACCACTGCGCTTGATAGACACCAACCAGGAAGCTCAGGCCATGCTTGCTTAATAACCTGCTTTTCCTTCACTTTGGTCTGCGTACAGGTGCAGGCAAACATTTGAGATTGTCTTGTAATTTTATTTTGAGTAATAGTTCTGGGAAGAATGATTGGGCTCTTGTCAGATTTAATTATATTCTCTGTGCATTTATTTTGCTGTGTTTGTTTATCAAATGTTGACGATGGAATAGCGGACCTTAATAGAGTGTGCTGAATGGATAATGGATGTGTATAGAAGGAGGTGACTCGAAGGAGAAGTTTGGAAATTGGCCGTACATTAAGAAGAATGTGGTGCTATGTGAGAGGAATGAGTATAGACTATGTGTGTTTTTCTGTGCGAGAGACACAAGCCGAAGCAGTCAAGCAGAAAATTACGAAATAGAGAGAAGGGGTAAGTGAATATGAGGTGGAACCAGAGGCAGAGGTGGGAGGGGGAAGACGTCAGGTCAAAAGAAGCAGTTTGAAGGTAATAGGAGGGTTGAAAGTAGTGGTGTACTCCGTTTATGTACACATACTATTGTGGAGGAGCATCACCAGTCTGGGAAAGGAGCTCCACTCAATTCTTGCCTCCTTTTTAGGATTCATTGTCATAGAGCCAGAATGCAAATAAGAAATATCATAATGCTTTCCTTAATTGGCAAGATTACATTTTGACCTAGCATGATACTATTTTAGTGAATATAAACAATACGTGACTGATCTTGTTATCCATTCAGTTTGAATAGTTACCCAGCCTTAACTGGATATTACCATTCATTCACCTTTGTCATTAATATACACAAATGTCAAGACATATATTCACTTTGTTTGAATTTTATTTGGAACCCAGAAATGGTAGCAACAGGTGACTGGACTCATGGGGATCTTACCAATAAACCAACAGTTCTCAATCACATGCAAGAGTCGCAAGAGTCACAAGGACACAAAAGTGTAATTTGTTAGGCAATTTAAGGGACTTGAACCTCTAAACGCCCAGCATTGTCACTCTGTCTTTGCCGCTCTATAGGCGTGTTCTCAGGCGCTACAGTTTTCCTGTAGTGAAGGTTGTCATCATCATTGAACACCTAATTCAATCCGTATTGTTATTACACACGCATCAACATGTATTTTTCGGTGCATTCGCCACAGTCCACAGCAAAACCAGAGAAGAGAGCTGTGATGCAGAGGCTAAAGTGGCTCTTTCAGCTGCAGACACATTTGTCACAAGTGTCCGTTCATTGCCCTACAGCACTCCCAGGTTTTCTTCTCCCTGACCTTTACAAATCTTGGCTCTTTCTTTTGCTTCTTGGCTAGGGGTTGACAGCTTTTATACGAACACTGCAGTTTGCATTTCACTTTGAAGTTTTCCTTAAAAATACACTTTCGTTTTTCTTTCTTTCCACTTTTCTAACCACTTGTTTACTGTTACTTATTCCCCTTTCTTCTTGTCAGGCGCCAGTTACAAATGGCTTCTGGCAAATGTCCAGGTGTCTTTTTTTAATTGCAATACTTGAAGATTATTTATGAGATGCTCATTTCCGAAACCTCGTCATGTCCTCTGCCTGCAGGTGTGGGAGAGGCTGCTCAGCTCCGAGTCCCCGACTGTGAACATGTTCATGGCCGTACCGACCATCTATTCCAAACTCATTCAGTATTATGACCAGCACTTCACACAGTCTCATGTCAGGGACTTTGTGAAAGCCGTCTGCAAAGAAAGGATCAGGTAGGCTTCATGATCAAAATTAATTATGCTTAGATACTTGTTAAAATGAGAATCTTGTTGTGTCTGAGAGGTGTAGCAACAATACTAAAAAGTCTTCTGTGTGTTGTGTTTAAAGTTAAAAGTTATTAGATATTTATGTTAATCTCTTATATTTTGTGTATACATTGAGATGATCTTTTAATATTGCTACAGATATGGCTTTACCTACACAATGTGGTTTTTGGATGATAGACCATAAATAGACCATAAATAATATGAACTGCTTGTGGCCTATCTTTTCCACTCATAGTTTTAGACTCCCAGTTATAGAGAGCTGAAAAATTGCATTTATAAATTGCTCCTAATTCTGCAATAATAGATTCTCTGAACAACTATGGCTTTATGATGAGTGCTTCTCCTCTGCTTCCATTATTCCTACGATACACTATGGTTATTTTCTGAACCTGAAGTGCTTGTCTTGTCTGTCATGTCCAGGCTGATGGTGTCTGGTTCAGCAGCTCTGCCCCTTCCTACTCTGCAGCGCTGGGAGGAGATTACCGGACACACGCTGCTAGAACGCTACGGCATGACAGAGATCGGCATGGCACTGTCCAACCCACTGAAGGGCCCTCGCATCCCAGGTACTCAACACTGACAGCAGCAAGCTATTGTCCCCAGATGAAAGATGCTATCCCTGACAAGCCTGACATTTTGATGTTTACTTTGAAGTGAAACTGAAAAGGGGTGCTCAAGAAAATATCAATGTTGTTCTGCAAAAAGTTGTACAAAAGGTCTAATGGTTGCCCAAATAATGGTATTGGTAACTTTAGTGTCCTCCACCTGATTTTCCGACAATGTGGTTCCTTGCCTACAATGTTCCAGAGTAAACTTTGTTTTGGCTTTATTCTGTTGTTTTTCTATTGTACAGTTTTTGTACAGGTTTTTTTTTTTATAAAATATGTTGCAGTTACTCTGGAAACAGCACTCCATATTGAAATGTAGGACCACATCTTACAAACTGCAGAAAACAGAATATAATTAGGAAAATTAAGATCACATCATTACTAACATATGATAATTATGATTGACTGAGACAAGGTTCCATGCTTTATTTAGATTTGATACATTTTGTCGGTTTTGCCAAAAGTATTTCCAGATTCCTTGAAATTCCAGGAAAAATGTGTTCTATAAATATTTGTTGATAATGTTAATGTTTTAGACAGAACATTTGTATTTGGGTGGCTTGGTGCAATTCATGACCTTTGCGGCTGTTAAATAAGCATCCACAGCTATACATAATATATTCTGTGTGCTCATTTTGTGCTGTTACTTCTGTCCGGTTCTCTCATCTTATCTTCTTTTTAGGCAATGCAAAAAAAACTAACTTAAGTGAAACTTGCTGACATCACCTGTCTATATGGATGTAAATGTTTACATATTGAGCTGCAATCCAAAAAGTTACACAATAAACCTTTAAGTTTAATCCGAATCCTAATACAAATCGTCATAATTATGCGACTAAGAAGAGAAAAAATAATGAGGGAACTTGTTATTGCGTAATGAAAAGCAATTGAAAACAGAGTTATAATGTATAGCTTGAATTAACACAATTATCCAAAATGTTTATCATAAGCTCCAGAGGATTGCAGTTTGTGTACTCATCTAATTAGTATCGCGTTAACTTATGACCTCAGAAAAGATACAGAAATGATGATTATCAATCAACAAACCTGTAATTTGTGTTTTTCCACCGTAATCAATTTGTTTTCACTCCACGTGCCGAGACAGTTGTGCTGCAGCTGGGAAAAAGGGTGATTACTTCATGAAAACACTTTAATTTCTCGGATTTACTCATAATAAATTCTTTGTTTATTGGTTTATGGGCTCACAACAGACACAAGCGCTCCTGGTGGTTCCGTGTTGGTGGCTGCAAAGATTGAGAATTGACCCCTGAAATGAGGTCTTGTTTGATCTGGTTGCGTTTTATATGGACCAATATTAATGTGCTCTAAAAAATATCTCCATCTATGAATATCTCTTAATGTAATTACTAATGAGTGTTTTTAAATAGATTCTCATCCATTATGTTCTGGCGCTAAAAATGTCTGCCAAGTCATATTCCTGTTACTACTACTAGTGATAAGTCTGCCTCTTTGTTTCATTGATGTATGCGTTTGTCATTGTTCCACAGTATGACTTTTAACTGCAACTATTAAATTAATGAAATAATTGTAAACTCATGTATTACTCGATAAATTGTCTTTGGAACTTTACATTAGTTAACCAACTGAGAAGATAATTCTCTGTAATGACTTACAGTGTCAGTGTAATTCGTCCTCTCTCTGAAGACGTTCCCCAGGGGCATCACTTGGTTTGAAAAAAATCACATGTTCACGGACCTTTCGGGATCAAAACAACTAATCAATTAATCAAAATAAATATTGGCTAACTTATCAATTATCAAAATAATTGTCTAATGATAATAAATGTTTTTCTCTCTATTCGCGCGGTTGCTACAACTGTACACTGCACAAAAATATGGCATTTTGACAGCACTTCTTCTTCTACTCGATCTCAGTGCATATACCCGGCAGACGGCACCGCCAGGGTGCATCACGTCCGGTTTGGTCCTGTCCCACGTACGTCTTTCGCGCCACTGCCCCGACGTCATATTAAACCCAAGAATATGGCCGGTCTCTTTTGGCTTTGTGTCCTTCGTGTCCCATCCTGTCCCTGTAAAGTTGCAGTTAGTGGCAATAAAGAAGTGTTTTTTTATCATAATTATCATAATAAATCATCATAATAAATAGGTTTACTGCGAGCCTTGTACTTGTTCAACTCCTTTCAACTGATCTTTCAATTCAAGCTCTACCACTTTGCATCTATTTCCTTCCATATGCGTTATTGTGTTTGTCATTTTTCACTGATGCAGTGTCAAATCAAAGCCTTAAATCCCAACACCACCTCCCTCTGATGCTTTCCAAAACAAAGTTGACGTGTGGAAATGGGGTCAGACCAGACTCCTCATCATATACCTTACCTTGTCGTCGTTCCTCAGCTCCCTTGTTCCCTTATCGACTCTCCCTCCCACTTCCTGGTGATGCTAATTAGCCTCGCAAGTGGTTTGGGTAATGCTCCATGCCCGTGTTTTGTTGAGGATATTATTGTGTTGCTCTTGTTTTGCTTGTCAAGTTTCTCAACATAAACCGCTCTGGCTTTGTTTGATTCTTCTCAGATGATTATTAAGAATGGCTTTGAGAGGTCTGTGGTTGTATTGATGTTTCCACTGCGGGGGGAAAAAAAGGCATTTGAACAAGGTGTGCGTGTTTGTGTGTGTGTGTGTGTGTGTGGCGGGCATGTGTGTGCCTGTTTGAGTCGATGTGTTCCTGTCTTGTCTTTAAGTAGGTTAAAACAGATCAATAGCAACCACAGGAAACACTTTGTGAAGAGCAGTGCAGACTGGGGAGGCCACACAAACTTGCACACCCTTATTTTAGTGTATGTCCACAATCGGTACTTTAATGCAGTTTATAGATGATGTTGTAAATTACTCATTTTGTAATATCAAAGCGTCCTGAATTTGTCGCGTTGCTTGTACAATTTTTAAACATTTCAGATTCACTGCATTTGAACTACATTTTCAAGGTCACATTGCTCTTCAGATGCTCTTATCATTATTAAAAATTGCATACAAAGTGTTTATGTGCATTTAGTATCTGTTTATATATACATATATTTATTTGCAATTGCAATATGTGTTTAAATAAGCCTGGTTCTTTATCTTACTGTTCATAAATTCTTCTATAGTGGCAGATCCTGTCAGACCTCTGAACCTAAGCAGGGCAGGGCCTGGTTAGCACTGTGATGGGAAAACACTGGGAACACCAGGTGCCACAGTGGGGCGGCTGTAAAGTGCCAAACTGTTGTTGTTTGCATTATCTATCCATCTATTTTCTTCCCCTTAGTGATGATAATAATAATATATATTATATATAATATATATACTGTAATAATAACTGTCCGCTCACTTTAAAGAATATATTTGTGCTCTTTCAACTTGGCTGCCATTCCATTTCATCTTGACAAGGCTGAAATAAAATTGTGTTGGAAGGAAGAATCTGCAGTTCTCACACTTTAGCTACAAATGGATTTTTGAGATTTTTGTCAGTGAGGGACTGGAGGCAGTTTTAGTCGCTGGTGAAACGAGGCGAGATTACACTGTGCTCACCACTTCACCCCAATACCAGAGAGTGACCCTGGATTTAGCTGGAGTTATGGAGACTGACATTTGCCATTTCCAACTATTACTTCAGTGATGTACATACTATTAGATTAGGGTGGTAACAAGTTGATTGAGATAGTTGTTAACTGATTTATTTGTATTTTTTAAGATATACATGGACTTAAGCAGACTGAGAAGAGGTTCTATGACATTTATGAAAAAATGTGTTTTAAAGATTATTTTCAATCCAAGAACCCGATGTGTGACATGTCTTCCAGGAGAAAGTCTCTTTGACCTAATTCACTGACAACTAATCAATGAATCGAAACGATAATCGTCCAACTAATGTATTATTAAAATAATTGTTAATTACAGCCCTAAATTATATACTTGCACTGATTTTAATTCAATGGCAAGGCTTTGAAAATGTGTTTTAAATCAATTAAGCAGGAAAATAATTGGCCTTTTACTTATCTACTCAGTCAAGTGTGTAAATGGGCTCCTCAATTGCAATTTAGGCTGTTATCTTTTATAATTTGTTCCTAATTTCTGTATAAAGACTCACCTGTAGAAATCACTGCGGGACTTTATTGGACTGGTTGACTTGAAAGTGACAGGCATTGCCAATCAGGGCCAAAGTGGTTTGGATCAATATTAAGTTAGAAAATTGCTCTCTAATCAGGGCTTGACCCGCTCCTCTCCAAAAGAGCAGTGGTCTGTGAAATGGCATAATTGCTCGAAGGCAGTGGTGCAGACGTACAGCTTTAGACCTTTCTTTGTTGCTCCTGGTTATAATTACTTTACTCACATTTTCACACAGCTCAAATTAAAACTACAGGTTATTTCATTATGTACTGGGGTTACCCTGCACTGCCTTCAGCCATAATTTTAATAGATCAACTGAAACATCACAGCGGAATGATTAATGAAGTCGGTTTTGCATTTTTCAGATTTGGGTTCAAGCAATTTTCTTCTTTTTGTGTTTTGCCTCAGGAGCTGTAGGTCTACCTCTTCCTGGAGTACAAGTGCGCATTGCCATGAACAATTCTATCAAAACCATCATTGCAGAAGGAAACAACAGACAAACTCAGGTAAACACAAGAAAGTGCCATTTAAAACTATAACAGAACTTTCTACCTATAGTGCACTTCCTGTATTCAGACAGTGAAGCAGCGGATCATCTCCAAAATCCTATCAGTTGTTCACTGGATCTTTTGGCAAGTTTCCTGAAAATGTCTCCCAAATCCTCCCATTAATTTGAGTTATGCTGCTCACAGACATAAAAACAGACAGACAAACCCCGGGGGTCACTTTACCTTGTTGATGACAAAGTTGGCAAATACTATGAATAATTCTATGGAAAAGGACGGTTAAAAATGGAAGCAGTCCTCCAGGCCAAATATAAGGTTTGTGAAGATGCAAGCCTGTGACATTAACACAGTAAAGACAAGCTGGGGTACCTAACTTTTACAAGGTCCTGATACATTTTGTTTATACCACAATAAACCTTCAAAACTTGAACAAATTAGACTACAAAGCAGGCTATTGCTATCATTATTAAAGTCACCATCTGACGCTTCGGCTGAGAGAGCGTGGTCGTCTATTTTTCACTTTCTGATTCATATCAAATTTGTGACAGAGGCCAAAAATACAAAATTAATGATAGAACCAATCAAATTGGGGAGTTTCTCTGCTGTCTCTCAGCTGGCAGCGCCCCAGGGAGTGTGCCTGGAGAGGGAAGCCTGTCTCTGCTAAGACTTCTGCCCCTGCAAACCGGCGACAGATAAAGCAGAATAAAATGGATGGAACAAAAGTAGAGAGATGGATTCTATTGCATTACAAATGTTGAGCTATGATAGTTAGATAACCCAGCTCTAATACAGGAAACAGATAACACCTTTTAAAGTCTGTTTTACCCTATGACGTTGCAGTGGTTTCGCCTGTCTCCCAGGTACGTCCCGGTCTTGAGGGTAAAGAGGGTGAGCTCCTGGTCCGTGGAGCTTCGGTCTTCAGGGAATACTGGAACAGGCCTCAGGAGACGGCAGAGTCCTTCACCGCCGACGGCTGGTTCAAAACAGGTACTCATCACCATTAGCGCTAATTGTTCTTCAATGATCTGTTACAAGCATTTACAAGTGTACAAAAGTTGTTGGTAATGGATGATTTCGCACGCTTAAAAACAGAAGGTAACCCGAGAGGTGCGCACAGAATCTGAACTCATTTCGAGAGCTATGAGGGAGTGATAGATGGACGTTGTGTGTGTTTTTGGAGCTGCGGGGCATTTTTCCTCCTAAGTCAATCAATCAATCAATCTTTATTTATAGGGCGCTTTTCCTGCACAGGGCAACACAAAGCGCCTCACAGTCCACACCACACAATGCACAAATCATCACCATTAAAATACAATTAAAAACACATATGTAATTAAAAAGCATTAAAATCACATAAGTAATTTAAAAACATAAAAATCACACAAGTAATTAAAAACAATAAAATAGTTAAAAACACAAAAAGTTACAACAATAAATAACAAGGTGTGTTAAAAAGATAAAATTCTCTAGTTGTATGCACGGGAAAAAAGAAAAGTCTTTAACATGGATTTGAACATTGACAGAGAGGCAGCCAGTCTCACATCCTCAGGAAGACCGTTCCAGACTCCAGCTGCATAAATCTGAAAAGCAGCCTCCCCCTGTCTAGTCCTGACTCTGGGCACTAACAGGAGTCCCCGTCCCTGCGCTCCTCAGAGTCCGGGCTGGTTCATATGGGACTAGCATATCATGGATGTACTTTGGTGCAAGGCCATGGAGAGACTTGTACACCAGGAGAGCTGCTTTAAAGTCTATCCTCTGGGCCACGGGAAGCCAGTGCAGAGACCTGAGGACCGGACTAATGTGGTCGTACTTCCTGGTTCTAGTCAGGACTCGGGCTGCAGCATTTTGAATATACTGCAACTGTCTTACTGCATGTTTGGAGATACCTGTGAGCAGGCCATTGCAGTAATCCAGCCTACTGGAAACAAAAGAATGGATAAGAATCTCCAAGTCTGCCCTGGACACAATATTTTTAATTTTGGCAATATTTTTCAGATGATAAAAAGCTGCTGATGTTAGCGATCCAATGTGGTATTGAAGTTTAAGTCAGAGTCCATTATTACTCCCAGATTTCTGACCTTATTTAAGGGCCTTAGGGAGAGAGACTGAAGGTGACAAATGACGGTCTCTCTTTGTTTCTCGGGACCAAAGACAATCATTTCGGTTTTGTCCGCATTTAGCTGGAGAAAATTGCATTGAATCCACTCACTGATCCGCTGGATACAGCGAAGGAGTGAGTCCACCGGCCCATGCTCTCCTGCAGTCAGTGAGACATAGATCTGAGTGTCATCAGCGTAATTGTGGTAGGACACTTTCATACTTTGAATTAACTGACCTAATGGCAGCATGTAAATATTGAACAGGAGAGGTCCCAGAATCGACCCCTGTGGCACTCCGCAGGTCAGGGCCATATTATCTGAGACATAGTTTCCAATCTCCACACAATACTTCCTTTCTTCTAGATAGGACCTAAACCAGCTTAGGGCGGTACCAGCAACACCAACCCAGTCCTCCAGTCTCTGCATGAGAATCTCATGGTCAACGGTGTCGAAAGCGGCACTCAGATCTAACATGACTAAAACAGAGACTTTTCCTGCATCAGTGTTAAGCCGAATATCATTTGTTACCTTGACTAGAGCGGTCTCAGTACTGTGGTGTGGTCTAAAGCCAGACTGAAACATGTCAAATGAGTCATTAGATATTAAAAATTCAGTAAGTTGTTGGTAGGCAACTTTTTCAAGAATTTTTCCCATGAAAGGCAGATTTGAGATGGGACGGTAATTTTCAAGTACCGCAGCATCCAAACTGCTCTTTTTTAGGAGGGGCCTAATGACTTCCTTTTTCAGGGCCATTGGAAATGTTCCAGATAAAAAAGACATGTTTACTATTTGTGTCAATGAGGGTAATAGACTACACATAACAGACTTCAGAAATCTAGGAGGTAGTACATCCAGACTGCAGGTAGAGGAACTAAGACCTGTGATTATCTTTTTAACAGTTTCATCATTGACAGGTGCAAATTGAGCTAGCTCACAAAGCCTCACTGGATGTTGCATTGTTACTTGTGTTGTAGAGGTGATGGCATTTCTGATACCCTGAACCTTGTCTCTGAAGAACTGTGCAAACTCATTACACCTGGATTTGGAGTAGTGTTCTAATGGCAACTCAACAGGGGGATTCGTTAATCTATTGATTGTTGAAAATAGAACACGCAGATTGTTGCTGCAGCCTTCAATAGTTTCAGAAAAGTATAATTCTCTTGTTCTACGTAGTACTCTGTTAAACTCACACAACTTCTCTTTTAAGAGTCTATAATCAGTGCTTGCGACTGAGCTGGGCTTTGAGGAACCAGGCCCTGCTCTTGCTCTTTCTACCACTTTGTGTGCGCGTGTGTGTGTGGCTATGCAGAGAAAAGATGCCTCTCCCTATAGTCCAGCACTTTTGCCTCTGCTTCCGCCCCCCAAAGGAATCCATCTTAACTGCTGAGCCACTGGGAGCCCTGCGTGCGGATGGGGAAACTTCAGATTGTCACATGAAATAAAAATCGCCCCAAGCTAAAGAATAGGGGGAAAAGTTTGAATTATTGAGCGTGGGCATGTGGTATAGCGGAGGGGTTAGAACGAGCAAGGCAAGCAGGGTGACAAGCTGAGTCCCACGGAGAATTGAGACAGCAACGAGGAGCTGGCGGTGGTCGGGGAGAGGGAGGAGGCAGGGTAGAGTGTGTTTAATTGGCTTTGCAGGCTAGAAGGACAGGAGATCCAGAGCCCAGCATGCCACTGTCACACTCCATTACAGCCAGTGGCCACATAATGAGAGGCAGTGCAATCAGCTCCCCACAGACCAGAGCCTCCAGCACAGACACAAACGCACAGCGAGCGAGAGGAGCGCCACCACTGAGTCTATCTACCTGTCTGTGTTCCTCACCTATAACTGGCAAGGAGCACAGCAGTCTGCAGCCAACTTTATTCTGATAACTATATGTGTTTTTCTCTGCCCTTTCTAAGACATTCAAACTAGTGCTGTCCAACGATTAAAATATTTAATCGCGATTAATCGCATGAATTTCATAGTTAACTCGCGATTAATCGCAAATTAGTCACACATTTGCGTGCTGTGTGCAATTGCTTTTTTTATTGAAAACAATGTGTAGTGTTATATTACACACTAACATTTGATGCAAAATCATCAATAAATGGATGACAAAATAAATAATTGGTAACAAAAAGCCCCTTCAATGTGTGTGTGTGGGTGTGTGTGTGTATGTGTGGGTATAGACCATAGACTGTATAGAAACATCATGGTGTCATTATGATGATGATAAACAATCTGTAAATATTTTGTAAATTTGTTCATGTAAATACTCTATGGCACCATTCCCAAACTCAGTAACACCGAGGCCCCCTTAAAAATCTGATGGGTCTGCGTGGCCCCCCAAAATAATAACCAAGAAGACAACATTAAGAATAGGCTCTTCTGGTTATTTTATTTTGGGGAAATAGCCTCTGCTACAAACATTGTAATACAAAAATGATTACAGTGGCTTATTCAAGTCAAATAATGAACACAAATATTTTAATATTACAAACAAAACATTATAAATTTAACATTAAATAATTATATTATTTTTTTTATGACCTCCCGCGGCCCCCCTGCAGTACCCTCGCGGCCCACCAGGGGGCCGCGGACCCCACTTTGGGAGACACTGCTCTATGCTGTTTCTCTGTTTACCTTTGGTATATCTATGACTGTATACTGTTTGCTTGTATTGCCTTTTTTATTAACCCCTCCCCCCATCTCCCACTTCATGTCCCTCCCCTCCTATGTGCCCTTCTGGGTTTCTTCTTTGGCCCCCTGTATCTCCAACTACATATTGTTTGTAATCTCTGTCTACAATGTATCTGAACTAGTCCTTTTCTTTGTTTCTATGTGTTTGTCTGCAATAAAAAGTAAAAAAAAAAAAAAAAAAAAAAAATCTTTTTTTTTTTTTTTTTTTTTTTTTATCGCGCGATAAAAAAAATGACGGCGTTAATATTGATTTGCGTTAACGCGTTAATAACGCGCTATTTTGGACAGCCCTAATTCAAACGTTATAGTATAATTTAGTCTTTAAAGTTACTTTAAACGAACCCTTTTTGTGGTTTTGGGTCCTATATTCAGTTGTAACCTTTCCTTTGTACTATTTATATGACATTATTTTTTTACTGAAAGAATTGGGAATCAATTGTTTAAGTAAAAAATATAGATGTTTTGCATCTTAGTCTGGTTAGTTTTACATTTTTTATATTTTTTATATTTTATGACAGTGGGCGACAGTGGCTCAGTTGGTAGAGCATAGGCCTCAGAGCCTGAAGGTCGTGGGTTCGAGCCCACCATGAGACCTACTTCACGACTCCCACTGTTGACTGCTGTCGTTGTGTCCTTGGGCAAGACACTTAACCCCACTTTGCCCAAAGCCCCCGCTGAAAGATCAAGGCTCCTGTGGACTCACCACCTGCAGGAGGATCAGAAAGGGGCTGGTGCTTAGCGTACTGGGTGCAGCTCTGACTGCAACCCCCCCGACCCAGAAATGGATTAAGGGGAAGAAAATGGATGGATGGATATTTTATGATGAACCTCTCTAAAGGAGTGTTACTCTCATATTGTGCTGATACATGAGGCGTACGCACTATATTGGATCATTTGGTTTGAAATGTGTATTGCGCATCGATCAGGGGCAATGTGCTATAAACATAAGTCTTGGAAAAAGAAATTATGTCATGCGGTTTTGGCAAAAATGCTATTTTACCCCTGTAGTCCCTGGACAAGTTGATGGTAAGATTACAGTAACAGTGATTCAAACAATGATTTAGTGTCCAGTCACAATAAAACAATCTGCTTTACTCAACCTAAAACACAACCAAAACAATACTGGTGTGACTGTCTTATAACTTTATGTCAGACGTTAATCAAATTCTCAAATAAACTGTAAGGTTCAGAAGACTCCGTGTAAGACGCTGTAAATCTTGATTTGAGAGCAGATTGTTGCCTCTGGTTGAAGAGTCTTAATGTTCAGTTGAGCGACCTGGCTGCTTCATGACACCTGCACCTTTCCCCTCGCACCTGCTCCTGCTTCACACTCCAACTGTCTCCTCACACCGCATCACAGAAGTCTCTCCATTTCCTGTAACATTTGAACATGTCATAAAAAAACATTTCCAGCATATAATGATAGTTTGTATTATTCAAATTTCACAAATTGACATCTCACCTGCCTCAGATATCACTACCCCGTTTGTTGATTCTTTTTGTGGTTCCACAGAATAATTAGTCAGCCATAATTACAGATCTTGCTATGTATATGAATATACCTTTTAATGGGAAGAATCAACCCACAATAATTCAACAGAAAATAATTGCAATGTGTTTCACAAATGTTTTGATGAATATAATGTATTGAAAGGCACATCTGTTACTGCTGGTCATTAAGCTAATGACTAACTACCTCCAATATTCTTGCACTAGAGTGTATTACATATTGATTTACAGATGTATACTTACAAGTATATATTTCTTGCATTAGAGTATACAGTATTTTATTATTTGCTTCTTTATTAGGCTAAATATAGAAATTGTATTTTATTTAATACAGAATAGAGCTGTGCTATACTAAATAATCAATCCCTTTGTCTCCTCCTTATTCCTGCTGTAACTTGTGATGCAACAAAGAAATGTCTCTACAGTAGAGTGGAACAAATAAAGGATCTCAAATGTAGTGGTAGAAAAGACAATATAGAAAGTCCTATGTTCTAAAACAAACATAACTGTATGCTGTACAAACCATTAAAGAAGAAACCTGTTATTTTGTCGTTTGAATCCTCTTGAGTTTGGAAAAAGATAGCGTTTGGCAGCAGCACAATACAAGATAAATGTTGAGGCAGAGAAAGCTATTAAGGCAGACTGACAGGTGAAGAGCAGAGATGCGGACAGAAAAAGTTGTGAATAAGGAGTGTGGAGTTTAGATCGATAGTTGGACAGAGGTGTAGCGTGCGCTGGGAGGGTCCGTGTGAGTGGCAGCGCGATAGAAGAGCTGTCACCCTCTTAGTGCGCTCTCCTCCTCACATCTCCACCGCATCTCGCCGCATTGATCCTCTCACATGGGTTTTCTATTTCTGTGCACAACAGTCAGCCGCGCTCCACAACATGACAGTGTCTTTATGCGGGGGCTCGAGCTCTCAAGTAAACAGACCAAGTACTGTCAAACACACTGGACAGCTAAGTCAAAATATTTCCTCTTCCTGATGATTGTATCGGTGTACATTACGAGATTTAGAGTAGTTGACTGAACCAAAAAGCCAAGATTCGTGAAGTTGTCGTTACCAAATATATTATAACTGGAACACTGACTCAGACCCTGCCCGGCCCATGGCACCTCTATAAATGTTTATGGCGTTTTTCTGCCTTAATTAGTTCAATAGTATTGAGCAATCCTGCCGCCAGATAGACAGGCACACACGCACACACACACACACACACACACATATTATCTAGACGATCAAAGTCCCCTCTTGGCAGGGTAATAATATTACAATACACAATACAATACAATACAATACAATTTATTCTTGTATAGCCCTAGGTCACAACAGAAGTCATCTCAGAGGACTTAACAAAACCATTGAAATCACCAACACAGGTCAGAGAATCAACAGTTAAAACACATGAAGAATACAGTATAAAGCACACACAGAAGAAAATGTCCATACATGTTGTAGAATGCTAAAGTGTCCTGATCATCACCAATCCTTTCTGTTGGAAACTAACTGTCCAACAAGACCCTCCTGCATCGACAAGGAAAAACTCTTAAAAAACCCAGTGGGAAAAAGTGAGAAACCTTGGAGGAGAACTAGGGAAACCCACAGGGAGGGAGACCCATATGAGAAAGGGATCCGCTCCTCCGGACGGACAGACTAATGATCTAGGACCTAAGCTAGCTACAGAACGTGGACCAGTGGACGCTGAACGTGGACAGGTCCGGTGCAGGACCGAAGCACTCCCAGGCGGGTCGGGCGGGGCAGTCCGCAGGTGTAGATGGAAGAGGCCAGGCTCAGAGATCCCGTCATCGTACCATGAAACAGACAATGGGACAACGGGTGAATAGCAATGAACAAACTACAGTCAGAATCCTAAAAATGCTAAACAGATAAAGTAGGAAGGAGGAGAGGATAGTGCTCAAGTTACCATACTTCTCCCAGCAAACTGACTCCCTATGCAGCTTGACTAACACTCTGAGGAGTTTAACCTTCTCCGAGTCTTACCTTCCTAGCCATATGCTAAACTAAAGAGGACTGTTTTAAACCTAGCCTTGAATAAAGAATAACATACAGCATAATATATAACATAATATACAACATAACACAATACATTATTGAATAATATATAACATAATATATAACATAATACAGCATATATATATAATATATACACTACATATTATATATTACCTAATTATATGCTAAATTAAAGTAAAGTGCTTTAAGCCTGGCCTTGAATGTGGAGACCGTATCTGCTTCCTTAACATAAATGGGAAGCTGATTCCACAGTAAAGGAGCTTGGTAGCTAAATGCTCTGCCACCAACAGTGACCTTTGAGACCTTAGGGACCACCAGACGTCTGGCGTTTTGTGAGCGCAACGCTCGACTTGGTTGATACGACACTAACGTGTCTTGGAGATAAGAAGGAGCCAAGCCATTTATGGCTTTATATGTTAAGAGTAGGATTTTAAACTTTATTCTGTACTCCACAGGGAGCCAGTGGAGTGATTTTAACACCGGAGTTATGTGCTCCCTCCTTTTGGTACCTGTTAAGATCCTAGCTGCTGTATTCTGAACGAGCTGGAAGCTCTTCAAAGAGGCTTTAGGGCACGCTGCCAGTAAAGCGTTACAGTAGTCGAGCCTTGAGGTGACAAACGCGTGAATGAGTTTTTCCGCGTCACTTTTAGGAAGGAAATTCCTAATTTTAGCGATG